CCAAGTTCACTGGGTGGACTGGTAATCCAAGACCCTGGTCCAAAGAGGGGAAATAGATTTTATTCCCATTTTTGATTATATGTGTTTACATTGTGAATTATAATAATAATATTCCCGTTGTTGGGAATAATACACTTTGCCTGTTTTGATCCAAGGCTCAAGTTACAGATAACATGATGTGCAGTCTGTTTAAAATTGGTTAAGATGTCAGCTGTTTGAAATATTTAACTTGTACACTTAAAAGATGTGTACAACAGATGATTACAGAAGCTGAAAATCGACAGCTCGATCTCCTCTTAAAGGGAAAACCTACGGCATAGAGCAAATGGGGGAAATCGAGGTGAAGAAATAAGGAAAGTCCCGCAGACGTGATTAGCACGTCTGAATATACCTCCTTTCGTTTCTCTGCCGCAGGCCTCCCATGGATATTCCATAAGGTAGATCATGATATGATCTAAGAGGGGAATTGTAGATGCGAATATCCATTTTGCTCTATATCCTAACTGTTCATGTAAGGGTTAATTTGAATCAAGAATAAATTTGGAATTGTATCTCCAATTCTCAGAAATGTTATTGAAACTTTGTTATGTTCCTGGAAAATGATATTTACATGACATGACATGACATGACGACATGACATGACATGACATGATAAGGATTCTGGAATGACCTTGTTAATTGTCCAAGATTTCTGTATTTGTAATCATCTGGGTTTTATCCAATATGCATACATTATGTAACATCGAATTATAACTAAAAACAGCTGTTTATAACTTGTGAAAAACAATGTCATTGTCACGCCCATATGGTCATTTTTCCCCCTCCCATCCTGCTATGAAAATGGGTTATAAATATAACTGACGTATGAATACAATTTGAATTGGTTATTGAACACGTCTCTGCTATTCATTTCCAATTTCCAGAGCTCTGTATGAGTTGGCAAATATCCATCATCCACAAAGGGCCAGGCTGATTTTATCCCCAACAACTCTAGTTTTTATTTTTTATATTTTTTATATTTTATTTATCCTTTGGGTCTTAAAGTTTCTTAAGGAGTTCCTTTTTTTAACCCATTTTAGCTGGAAGAATTAGAATTGTGATCATTATAAACCATTTTCAAGTGCCTTATGGACTATCCGTATTTCATATTAAATATGGGTGCCTTTTTATTTTTCCAATTAAATGCCCTTTTTTTAAACAATCCTTAGAGATGTATTATTTGTATGTGTTTTATCCATTATAAAGCCTGTTTCCCTTTCTATACGCTGCTATGTAATTCAATTATTGTTTTTTAATATATGTACTAAAGATTATAGAATTGGCACATGGTTACACCATCTCCTGCACTTATATTAGATTTCCGTTTTTTTAATATATTGATTCTCCATTCTCTTTATGTGTGTTTTTGGAGAACTACACTCAAAATGGACAATAAAGTTTATATTGTGAGTGGAACGCATATGCGTTCCAAGTACAGGAGATATCACAGATGGAGCGCGTGTGCGTTCCAGGTCCAGAACGCGACCGTAAGTGCATCATCAGAAGGTGGACAGCGGCGAGAAACGCCATAGGACGAAGACCGAAGTAGTCCACGGTCACCTAAGCGGATCGAGACAGACAATTAAAGGAGAGCCATATTAGAAGACAGACGTCAGGACAAGAGACTTATACAACTGAAGAAGCCTATTTAGGCGAAACGCGTTTTGAAAGTATCTTATTTTACTAAAAGACTTTGCAGTGCTTTACTGCTTGCTATTTTATATTTAAGTTCCAATAAATTTGTTTTTTAACACCATCTTATGTCCTGGAATGTCATTGGGTGGAGGATCTTCAATATATATCCCATCCTGCTCAGCTAGGGAGTGGGATCCCTACTAGCCTGCACATTGAGCCTAATGTTATTGGCTCTGTACTTGTGAGTACAATACCTACTGATATTTATATATGTCCTTGTACCAGGCTATATTGCACTAGGTTGTGTTTTTTTTAATATATATTTTCAGCTGTCTGTGATACCTACAACCAAGGTCTACCTTACACTCCACCTAATTTGTATGTATATATTTTGCTTTATGTGTGATCAGAGAGGTAATCACATAGGTGTTTTAGAGTGTGGTGGTATTCATTTGTCAGCACATATTGGGACTTTGTATTGTGTTTATTCTAGGTATTCTGTCCTGGTATGTACTGTTTGAGTGGAGGACTATTAGAAACAAATATAGATGTTGGGTCTTTAGTTTATTTATTTAAATTGAAATAATTTTGAAAATAACATGTCAGGGTTCTTTGCTAAAGTAAGAATTCCAAGTGAATTTCAATTTTGAGTCCACAGTAGCAGAACTGAGTGCATAGCTGACAGAGAAATTTTCCAGTTCGGCTATTTTGACCTTAAAGAACCACTATAGTGTTAGGAATACAAACCTTATGCTATAGTGTTCTACTGCAAGGATAGGAAACCTTTGGCACTCCAGATGTTGTGCACTACATCTCCCATAATGCTCTTACACCCATAATGATGGTAAAGCACCGTATGAAGTGTAGTCCAAAACAGGACTGGAGTGCTGAAAGTTGCCTATGCCTGTTCTAGTGCATGCTTAGATTTAGATCCCTTCCATCTGGAAAAAATAAAGAAAGTTATTTTCTTTCCTCCAGTGCTTTCCCTCGGTGCTTCTGCCGCTCTGCCTTCTGTGAAGTCATCAAGTAAGTGTTGCTTCTCTGCCTTTTCTCCAATCCATGATTCTCATAGACGTTCCTTTGCCAAATTACTGTTTTCACAATTGTTATTTAAAAGCAACTGTTAAAAGAAACACTCCTGATACTATAATAACTTCACCTTAAAGAAGTTATGGTGCCTGAAGGTCATGGATGCATTTATGAATGATTTAACTTCACAGTGGTCTAGACCACATCTGTCCACTCTGTACCTTCTACTAGTCATCCTCTTTCACCCGACTTCAATGTGGAAGTCTCTCACTGGGAGCTGGTAATAAACTAAGACCACCAGCTGATGCTCTTAGCCTGTCACTGGCTTTCCATTTGGAAAAACGCATGTACCCTCTTCAGGTAAGATAGCGCCCAGGGTCTTCAGGTACCATAACAACATAATTGAGGTTCATTTGTTTCATTGCTGAGCCCAGGAGCAGTGGGAATCTGAGCGCAGGACTTTTTTTTGTGTATTAAGTCGTTTCTGTGCCTAGATTGTTCTCTTTTAAGGATAGATAATAGCAACAGACAGAATAACCTTTTAGCTAAAATATACTAATAAGTTTCCATCGTCTCCTCCAGTTTTTGAACTTATATGCAATAGAAAAAAAACAAAATTTTTGGAGATCGAATATTATCATTTATTGATTGAAAAAGTGTGCAGAAATATGGCCTTCTTTTGGAGAGCTATTTTGAGGCCATAAGTATTGAAAGCTTTGGTCAAAACAACAGATGGAGGTTCATAATGAGAATGAAATGACTTACACAGCATTTTAGAAAACTATAAAATATATGATGCCTGCATAAAATGCTTACATGTATAAATTCACATTTCTTCCAGGTGTTAATTTGGACAAATAGAGAACAACGCATAAAACGGGTTTTTAAATTGCTTTATTTTTATTTAAAGCATTTATTCACCGGGAAACAATTTTATTTCTAAAAAAGTTTTATTATTATTTTCTAGAATTACACATTTTTTAAAAATATTTATAATTTTATTGTAGCTTATATAAGCAGAATACGCTACATTTTAGGTGCATTCCATAATAGTAGACAGTGACTTTTCATTTATATTAGAGATTACGACAATATAATTTGGTTGTCACTGGGAACGGTGTCAGCTAGACTATGCACAATTTTAAGAAGGGTTAGCAGGTTACAATTCTTAACACATTCAGCTGCTAGCGTGGGGGTATGAGTGAGCGCCGAATGTATACTGAAGCGGGGTGAGCAGAGATTTAGATTTGGGAGGCAAACAGTAGTAGCGAAACAGGGCGATCGGGTGTTAGGGTCAAGGTTGGGCTTTTTTAGAATCACGGTGATGGTTGGTGCTTGAAGGGTGAAGAAAATAAGCCAAAGGAAAGGGAGAGATTGCATATTTTAGTGAAGGGCAGAGCAAGAGAAGGAGATAAAGAAAGAGTGAGATGTGAGAGAATAGGATCGATGGAACAAGGGTGGGGATGGAGGACCGAAGCAGAGCAGAAACCTTTTCTGGCATAGCGGGTGTGAGTGAGCATACAACAGAGGAGGGAGTGGGGATATGAGGGTATTATAGTAGTTATATTCTGCAGAGGAAAGAGCCAAACTGTATGAGTATAGCATACATTTATAGTGACAGACGTCAGATGCAGAATGAGACTTTCTCCAGCAACTTGTGCCATGCTCTTTTGACATATCATAATAAGACTCTAATAAATCAAAAAACATAAATCTTAGACAGAAGAGGCATGATGATGCACAAATATTTGACTCACGGCTTACTTTTCTTAATGATCATAGATTTCTATTATTGAGGTATCTTGACATTACAATATTGATGTCTGTATAACTAGCAGGGAGTGGACAAAACATAAAATTAATGACAATTTGTAACATTTGGGATTTTTGCACAACCTGATAAAGAACTAACGGTTAGCTATAAGTTGTGCATTTAAAAAAAAAATATATATATATATTTTTTATTTATAATTTATATCTTGTTGCCCCTGCAACTTTAGTTAGCGATATCTAACCAGGATAATAAATAAAATTCAAAGAGAATGATTGCCATGTTTAATTGTATGTTGGATCAGGATAAAGAATATTTTAATGCTTAGTGTAAAGATACAATACAATTGTTTTAAAATCATTTATCCAGCAATAACTGCAAAGCCTTTTGATTTACTGCATTGTGATTAGAGAAAATTTATTGATACTTACCGTAATTTCCTTTTCCTGGCTATTATTCATGGCAGCATTTAACATATGGGTTTAGCTCCTCCCTCCAACCCTCAGGACAGGAAACACAATCAATTAAACAATTAAGCCTACCTTCCCCTAGTATATTAGGTACCCCAGTATCCCCCACACCTCAGTCTAGTAACAAGACAAATAAACCAAGAGAGGGTGGGAGACCAAATGCTGCCATGAATAATAGCCAGGAAAGGAAAATTACGGTAAGTATCAATAAATTTTCTCTATTCCTGGCTAATCATGGCAGCATTTAACATATGGGATTACCAAAGCAATAACCACTCAGGGAGGGTAAGTCATGCTACAAAAACTGTTTAATATCCACTTAAGGCTTATAAGAGTTCAGGACCGATAGGCCAAACTCTGAATCAGAACGAGATGAGATATCCACTCTGTAGTGGTGTACAAAGGTTTTTAAAGATGACCAATTGGCAGCTTTACAGATGCTCTCTGCAGGAACTCCTGACTCTGCAGCCCATGAAGTAGCAATGGACCTTGTGGAATGTGCCTTGATTTCCTGGTGAACTGGAACCTGTTTAGCTCTGTAAGCTTTAGAAATAGCCTGAACCGTCCAAGAACGAAGGGTTGCGACAGAGGCAGCTTCACCTTTACGAGAACCCCAAGGTATCACAAACAATTGGGTAGACTTCCTCCAATCAGCTGAGCGTGAAATATATGTGGAAAGACACCTCCTTAGGTCTAGCGTATGACATTTTTCTTCCTCAGGAGACGATGGCTCCTGAAAATACCCTGGCAGGACAATCACTTGATTCAGATGAAAGGATGTAACCACCTTAGGAAGGAACTCAGGTCTAGGCCGTAGCACAACTCTATCATCGAAGAAGGTAGTGAACTGTTCTTCAGACGACAGTGCTCTAATATCCGACATTGTCCTAGCAGATACCAAGGCCAGTAACAACAGGGTCTTGAGAGAAAGAACCTGCATAGAGACCTCATCAATAGGTTCGAAGGGATGTTCCGTCAAGGCCTGCAGAACCAGAGGCAAATTCCAAGGAGCAGAGAAAACCTTGATAGGAGGTCTGATCCTAATGACTGCTTTGAAGAAGCGAATTACAATAGGATTCAATGCCCAACGAACACCGGAAAGAGCTGAAAGAGCAGAGCAGTGCACCTTAAGCGTGTTAAGTTGAAGGCCCCTCTCCAGGCCTGCTTGCAGGAAACCCAAAACCTGAGACACGGAAGGGGAACCTAATTCTTGAACCGTGGAATTACACCATCGAGCAAAGGCTTCCCATACCTTATGGTAAGTAGAAGAAGTAGAAGGATTCCTGGAACGTAACAAGGTAGAGATAACCTGGTCCGAAAGGCCATGTTCAACTAGAGACTTCCTCTCAATAGCCATGCATGGAGCCTGAATTTGTGAGGCTCCGGATGAAACACTGGACCCTGAATCAGCAGGTCTTCTGAGAAGTTCCCAAGGCAGGTCCACTGATAACCTCTGTAACAGGGGAAACCAAGGGCGACGAGGCCAGAATGGAAGTACAGCTATCACCTTGCAATGTTCCTTGGAGATCTTTCTCAGAACAGCGTGGATGAGGGGAATTGGAGGAAAAACGTAAGCCAGATCGAATACCCAATTGATGGATAGAGCATCCTGAGCAACCGCCTTTGGATGGTATCTCCTTGACACAAAGCATGGAACCTGCGCATTCCGAAAGGTCGCCATGAGGTCTACTTGGGGAAGACCCCACTTCTGGACCAACCGAGCGAAGATCCTCCTGGAAAGTTGCCATTCTGAAGCCTCTATCCGATGTCTGCTGAGGAAATCCGCTATTACATTCTCCTTCCCTGGGAGATAGATGGCACACAGGCCTTCCACATGATTCTGAGCCCAGGTCATAATGGGAACTATCTCTTTCATCAGGGCTACACTCCTTGTTCCGCCTTGATGGTTTATGTAGGCAGCAGCCGCTTTGTTGTCCACTCTCAACTTGACCCAGCAATGCCTGATGAGATGCTGAAAATGAAGAAGCGCCAGAAAGGTTGCTCTTAGCTCCCTGATGTTGGAAGGCAAGCATTGAGTTCTTGGAGGCCAATTTGCTTGAAAAAATTGATTGCCTAAATGTGCCCCCCAACCTGTCAGACTGGCATCTGTCGTAATGACCACCCAATCTATTTCCCGCAAGGGGAACCCTCTGGAGAGATTTTCCCACGACATCCACCAAAGGAGCTTCTGCTTCAGAATCAAAGGAATGCGAATCAGCGTCTCCCACTCCCTCGAGTCGGTCCTGAAATTTTTTAGGAAAAATTGTTGAAGAGGGCGAAGGTTCCACTGAGCCCATCTGACAAGTCCTATCGTAGAGGAAAGAGTCCCCAGAAGTCTCATAAACTCTCTTGCCGAGGCTGAAGTCTTTAGTCTGAAGTCCCTTATCCGATCTTGAAGTCTGATCTTTCTGTCGTGTGAGAGGGATACAATCGCTGTGTCTGTATTGAAATTTGCTCCCAGGAATATCAGTTCTCTTGAAGGATGCAAGTGACTCTTCTCGTAATTGATGAGCCAACCGAAATGAGATAGAGTGTCGAGGACTAATTGCCTGTGTTGGAATATTGATGCTAGGTCCGGAGCCACTACCAGGATGTCGTCCAGGTAGTGAAACACCGCTACACCTTCTTTTCTGAGCAAAGCAATGATGGTGACCAGAACCTTCGAGAAGGTCCTCGGGGCCGTACTTATACCAAAAGGAAGGGCCTGAAATTGAAAGTGTTCCTTCCGGACACAAAACCTGAGAAACCTTTGATGGGTGAACGTGATAGGGACATGAAAATATGCATCCCTGAGGTCTACTGATATCATCCAAACTTGGTGATGAACAACCGGAATGATGGAGCGAATGGATTCCATCCGAAATTTTCTGACTCTCAGATAAAGGTTGAGCTGGTGGAGATCTAAAATAGGCCTCCATTTTCCCTCTGGCTTCTTGACCAAGAACAGGGGGGAATAATATCCCTGGAATCTTTCTTTTATGGGTACAGGTATGATGGCTTCTTCCATAAGAAGATTGTTGACATAAAGAGTCAAAACCTCTCTTTTTTGGATGTTGGCTGGAAGCCTTGTGCGAATAAACCTTGGTGGAGGTGGATATTCGTCGAATTCCAGATGATAACCTTCGGTGATAATGGATCTTACCCAAGCATCTGGAATTATTTCCCAGGCCCTCTGAAAGAATGAAAGACGTGCTCCCACTCGAGGAACCTGGAGTAAGCCACCTTCAGAATTGCTTGCTGGGGCGAAAGGAAGAGGTCTGCGTCTTGCCCCTAGAGGATTTCCCATTCAGGCCGCTCTTCCAATTGGAATTCCTTGAGAATTCTCTACCTGGCCTGTAAGTCTTACTTTCCCTAAAGTAGCCTTGATTCCTAAAAGGTCTATGGTCCAGACGAGGTCTCTTTGGACGCCTATCTTGTGGCAGCATGACCTGTTTAACCTCGGCCGCCTTTTTAATCGCTTCATCCAGAGGTTTCCCAAAAAGCACTTCTCCCATAAAGGGAAGTGAGCATAAATTATTCTTGGATGACAGGTCTGCTCCCCAGGATCTCAGCCAAAGCGCCCTTCTAGCGGTGACTGAATGTGCCATAACCTTAGAAAGAATTCTAATGAGGTCAGTGGAGGATTCCAAAAGCCAGTCACTGGCGAGTTTGATATCCCTTAAGGATTCCGCCATCTGACGTCTACTGACCCCTTTATCTATGTCATCCTCCAAGTCAAGCAACCAGGAACGCATGGCTCTAGACAAAGCCGAAATGGACACAGCTGGATGGCAACCTAAACCCGCTGTCATGAAAGCTTTAGATAAATCAGCATCAATCCTTTTATCCATGGGCTCCTTAAGGGAAGCATTGCTATCAATTGGTAGCGTGGATCTTTTAGCAACCTTAATGATAGGAGCATCAACTTTGGGGACCGTAGTCCACAATCTGGAATCCTCCTCTTTAATCGGATATAACTTCGAAAGCCGACCCTGACTAGTAATCCTCTTACTAGGAATTAGCCACTCGTTCCTCATCAGGTCTTTAATAGAGCTGTGGACTGGAAAGGAAGGTCTTTTCTTATGTAAATCTCCAAAGTGTCTGTCAGAAGCTGAACATTCTCTGGTTTCTTCCGGCAAATCCAATGTTCTTCTAACAGCCATAATCAAATGCTCCATAGCTTTGGAGTCCAAGGAGCAAGGTTGTTCCATATACTCCTCTTCACTGGACGAGATTGGCTCCAAATCCAGGTAAGATGAAGTTTGTCTGTATTCATCGTCAGACTGATCTGAATCCATGCTGAAGTTTTCCCCTCTTGATCTCTTAATCTTGTGGGATTCAGCAATTCCTTCAACCACTGCCTGCTTAATCCAATAAGCAATATCCTTGGCTGAGGAGGTAGAGGCTTGCGGTGACCTCTGGCGATCAGATTCTCCTGCGGCCATGTTTAAGCATTTTCTGCAGAGCCTGCAGTTATCCAAAGGCCTTGCTCCACATCCAGGGCAGGCTGCCGGCTTCTCCCTTCTCCTCGATGGGGATCTGGGACAGGACCGGTCACGAGGGCTGTAAGATACAGAAGTCATAAGACTGTACCCTCTGTGCACTCTTTTTAGTAACTTGAAGAAACCAAGAAAAAATATTGCTCACCTATGACCTATAGCAGATCTCGTTGATCTTGCAGAAGGGGATGAAGGATCCATACTGACTGTAGGGCTAAGAATGTTAAAATAATAAGAAAAGTATTCCCAGCCCAATATTATGATGATTTTAAAATATAAGTAATTCTCTTACCTACAGAGCTTTAAGAACAGTCTACTAGAGCACTGTATCTTTAAAGGGAACAGAAACGAGCGTTTTTTAAGCTAAATACCGCCATTTCAAATTTCCCGCTCTGTACCTTTAAATGATCGCGCATGCGCACTTCGGTCGCGAGATCGCTAAACCGCCATTTTGGAAAGGGGCAAACTTCACTCTGGGTCCGGTCGGATGCATTGCGCATGCGCGGGCGTCTTACCGTTATGCTGATCGTCTGATTGAGGTCTGCAGCTCACACTGGACGGCAGAGGATTCCCATAGCCTGTGGAACTAACCACCCAGGCTCCCAGGGGTTCCCAACTCCATGGAGACTGGGCTACATGTGCCTGGGCTTCCTGAGGAGGGAGGCTGACCTCCAAAGGGACAAGACCATATCAAACATGGTCAGGTGAGCAAAAAATAAAAAATCATTCAGAAGAAACTGAATAAAGAAAAAAATATATATATTTAAACTGTCCTAGGGCTAGGAGGACAGGAAAAGACTGAGGTGTGGGGGATACTGGGGTACCTAATATACTAGGGGAAGGTAGGCTTAATTGTTTAATTGATTGTGTTTCCTGT